ACCACCACCACGACCACAGCCACCACCACCACCACAACCACCACCACAACTCACCATCACCACCACTACCACCACAAAACCCACCACCACTACCACCACCACCACCACCACCACAATCGACCACACCACCACCACCCACGCAACAACCACTACCAGCAGGACAACGCACCGCCACCACCACAAACCACCACACCACAATCACCACCACCACCGCCACCACCACCACCACAACAAACGTCCACAAACCACCGCCACCACCACAACCCACCACCACCACAAACCACCACCACACCACCACCACACCACCACAACCACCACCACCACCACAACTCACCATCACCACCATCACCACAAAAACCCACGACCACGATCACCACCGCCACAATCTACCACACCATCACCACCACCGCCACAACCACCACCACTACAAGCAGCACAACCCACCACCACCACCACAAACCACCACACCACCACCACCGCCACCACCACCACCAGCACCACCTCCACAAACCACCACCACCACAACCTACCACTACCACCACCACAAACCACCACCACACCACCACCAAACCACCACCACCACCGCCACCACCACCACCACAAACCACCACCACACCACCACCAAACCACGCACCACCACCACCACCACCCCCGCCAAACCACAACCCACCACAACAACCCACCACCCACCACCATCCAAACCACCCACCGACTGCCACCACCACCGCCACAAACCCCTACACCACACCACCGTCGTCCTCGTCGACGCTCCTCGCCACCGCCGCTCGCCCCCGCAGGCGCCTGTCGGCGCCGCCTGAAATTGAAATCGTCGTCCCGTCCGGCCGTCGCCAGCCCCGCCGCCGCAAGCGCCGATCGAGAGAGGGGAAGCACTGGTGGGAGGGGGGTGGGGTGAACCCCCCATTGCGTCACGAGAGGGGGTTGAGGGTCTAACCCCCCGCCTCCATACAGGTGAGGGTTCGTTTCCCCCCCCCGTTCCAAGCGGCCACAGAACTCGCTCTTTCATACCTACATACATACTACATACATAATACGATACAATACATACATACATTCATCTGCATTCATGCCTCATGCATGCATACCTACTACATAACATGCATGCATGCATACATACATACATACATACACACACAAAACATACACACATACATGCATGACATGCAATGGCAAGGCATTACGTACAGTACATACATCACCTAGAACACATATAGTACACACAAGCCATACACAACATCATATTACTTCACACTGCGCAACACTAGTTTACACTACATTAGATAGGTCTACCACTACCGCACAATACAATACAATACGACATCGTACGTTACAGTACATGCAATCCGTTATTGCCTAGCATACACATACACGCATACATACATACAGGCAGGCGAACTGACATACATTGCAGACAGTACATACATGCATACATCAACGTAAACACATACAGACACGAATACAGTAATACAAACCTATACATACATATCTATAAATTGACATACTTGCACACTTGCGTACACGCATGTATGCATACCCATACATACAGACTCACATGCATGCACGCATGCATACATACCGGCAAGCAAATAGACGCAACCACCGGCAGACACACACACACACACACATACGTGCATGAACGCCAACAGACAAACATACGCACATACATACATAGATGCATGCACACTTACATACATACCATACATACATACATACATGCATACATACATACATACATACACACAGACGTACATACACACAACAAACATGCGTACATACATACATGCATACATACATACATACATACATAAAGACAGGTTTGTCTATCTATATGTATGTCGGTCTGTCCGTCTGTCAGTGTCTGTCTGTCTGGTTCAAGTGAGCAAAGCGGGATCGATCATCGGTCGGGGCCCGATCGACGCCTGCCGCCCGATCTTCGGCCCAGCGATCCGCCCAACCCGTCCAGGCCTGGGTTCGCGCGTCGCCGCGCCATAGCGCGCGCGGGAGGTATGGAAGTCGACGTGTCCGAGGCGGCACTAGGCGCGCAAACTGCTAGAGGCCGACGACGCCGGGACCCGGGCGGGGAGGAACAGGAGGACACGATGGCGGAGGATGCGAGCGCCTGGCCAGCATCCCAGATTCGGGCAGCGGTACGCGGCCGCCGACCTCCAGGGCGCATCTGCACGACCGGCCGCCCGCAGGTCCTGTGGCCTGGTCTTCGAGAATGGCGAGCTGCGCTTGAGCCCGTGGGCCACCCGCCCTTGTTCACTGAAGGGGAACTGGAACACACAAATAAATACACACAAATAAAGATATCCCCGCATATTTTCCCATATTTTCTGGGTTTTCGTCTTCCCCACCACTTCCCATATTTTTGCATATTTTCCTGGGAGTCGACGATTGATTGTGTCTGTGTGCTTCTTTCCCTCCTGATTCACGCTGGACGTGCGCTACCCGTCTGCAGGGGGCCGGCTGCCGCTCGGTGCGGAGCTCCCGCCGCGTGGGAGATCTCGAGGCGCTGCCACGCACGTCGCGGCGGCGCGAGCGCAGGCGGCAGCACGCGAGACTCCGGACGGAGCGGGAGCCGCCGCTGGGATGGCGCCGCCGGCGCAGCAGCAGCGCCAGCCCATCCAGCACCCAGCTTGGGACGGCAACGATCTACCTGGCGGGTGTTGGTGGGCGGGCGTTCCATAGGATGACTTGTTTTTGGACGTCCGAGATGGGTACGGAAAAGATGGGTGCAATGCCCAACAACAAATGTTGTCCCAAACCAACAGCGGTCGCTGTTGGGCAGGCGGCCTTCTGTCTCGAATGGGCACAGGCCGCGGCGGCGTGGACAGCGAGTCCTGTTCAAAATGAACGAACGGGATCCGTTGTTGGGCATTGTACCCATTCTTTCCGTACCCATTTCGTGCGTGCCGATTGTCAACCACCAGGGCCACTACGTACGTGCAGATGCTGGACAGGCTGCGCGGCGCCGTCCTCAAGGTGCGCCCGAAGTCTTTGGAAGTCCTTCGACACGCCCAGGAACGCGAGGAGGCGAAGGATGAGTGGAACCTATTCTTGGAGAGGACCTCCTCCTCCTCCTCCTCCACAGCACCAGCGACGAAGCGGACGTGCCGAGCTGCTGAAGGAGCGCCTCGCGTGGTTCCGGGGGGCCCAGTGGGACGCGCTCTGGACGTCCGTCTGGCGTGGGCGGAAAGATCCCACTGGCCAGGTTCCACGCGGAGTTGCTCCGCTTGGACCCGCGGGCGAAGCTTTAGAGCTGCCTCGTGGTGGAGGCCGCGCTGGCTGCTCTGATAGCGCAAGCCCTGCAACAAGCGCTCCAGCCACTCGGGCTGCACCTGCATGCCACGAAAATGGCTGCTTGGTTCTCAGCCTGGTGGGCCGTGCTCACGGATCGGGCCGGGCGAACGGGGGGGATAGCAAAGGGGGGGGGTGAGAATCAACTCACGGAGCTGATTTTCCTGGCGCCTCCCGGCGCCGGGAGGCGCCCATGTACAGAGAACTGGGCCCCTCGGCGGGGCCGAAACCAGCCGCATGCAGCAAGTTTCGTTACCCCCCCTTTCCCAATCCCCCCCCCTTCGTTCGGCCCGAATGGAAGAGCTGCAGGCGTGCTGGGTGCCCTGCTCGCCTGTGCTCGGCGAGCACCTGCGACCGCCGGGCGACGCCGACGGCATCGTGCCAGCCGCCCTTTGGGGAGCTGGCGGAAGAGCCTCGCCGAAGCAGGGCGGAGGCTGCTGCATACGCTCTGCCAGAAGCTGAAGAAGTGGCACAGGGCAGGGCTCAAAAAGCACGCGGCGGCAGCCCTCTTCCGCGCCTGCGTGGGCCCGGCAGGCCAACATTCCTTGCGAGTGGAGCTCGCCACGGACGCCGCGACGCAGCAGTACGACGACCTGCTCGCGGGCTGCTGGCGGGACCTGCTCGGGCTGGGCCCCGGCGGCGCAGCCAGCGAGCTGCTGGGCCTCCCGGCCCGCTTCGGAAGCCTGGGCGCGCAGCTGGCTAGCACGCGCCGCCGCGCGGCTTTCCTGGTCTCCTGACCGCTGGCGGCGGAGCAGGTCACGGAAAGCCAAGGAAGGCAGCGGGACGCTGGCAGACTGCTTGGGACGACTGCCGCGGGCGGGCCCAGCAGCAAGCCACTGCGCGGCGCGGGCTGCAGAACGGAGGGCTGGAGCTCGCTGCGGGCGGGGACCTGGCGACTGCGCTGCAGACGCCCCTGACGCAAGGCCTAGCGGAGAGCGCGCAAACGAACCAGCGCGCAGCTCTGCTGCGACGCCTGCTTCTCTGAGCAGGACGAGCTGCGGGGCGCGGCTGGCAGCGAGAGGCGGCGCCTTCCTGACCTTCCCGGAGGGCGTACTCTGCACGCTGGAGGGCGCCCACTGGGAGACCAGCGCCCGGCGGCGGCGGCAGCTTCTGCGCGCGGAGCTCAGCCAGCAGGAGCTCGCGGGGGCGGGGGCCGCCTGCTGCGGTTGGAGGCCTGGAAATTGGCACCAACACCAACACAGGGGGTTGCCTCCACAGGGGGAAGATGATCCTCGATTTCGGCGTTGGTGGTAATCTTTCGGTCACCTGGGAAGCCAAACTGTTAGCACCGTCGCCGAGATCGGGATCTTCTTCCCTGGGTGGAGGCACACCACCGATTTTCGTGCTGGTGTCAACCTCTGGGCCTGCGATGCTTGCGCGGCGCCGACGGAGCTGGCTGCGCAGGGGCGCTGGACGAGCGCGGCTGCCACGCCCTGGCTGGCCAGCTGGGCGGGGGGGTGCTGGCGCGCGCCACGGCGGGCACTCCCAGAGGGTCGAACCAGGCTCCTCCGCCGCGGGCGCGGGGAGCGGCCCCTCCGTGAGCAGGCAGGAGCAGACAGTCTTAGAATGATTGTTGTTGCTGCTGCTGCTGTTTTTGTTGCTGATGTTGTTGCTGCTGCTGCTGTTGGTGTTGTTGTTGGTGTTGTTGCTGCTGCTGGTGTTGTTGCTGGTGTTGTTAAGGCCGTGACTGCTGTAGCTCGGGACCCAACAGCGCACTTGGAAAACGAAGACTTCCAGTGGTAAAAATGGGTTCGAGCCCCGAGGGGGGGGCACTTCAATTGAAAAACACATTGTGCACTGCTGGGGGGATCAACAATGAATATTCTTCAAGAGTGAGGGCGTTCAACGACGACACCACACCCCCATGTGCGCGCCGCAAACGTGAATTAGGCGAACGCGCGTGAAAGGTTTCCAGCACTGGCCGTCGCCCGCGGGCTCAGCAGGTCGCTTCGCAGCGCCCGGTCGGAGCAAGCCTGGTAGGCCTCGACGCTCTTGAACGGGTGGAACGCGACCTGGCCCTCCTTTCGGCGGTGGACAATCCTCCCTTTAATAGACCTCCCCTTAGTAAAAGCGGCCTGGGACCGAAACCGACGGACCTGGACCCGCAAAAATGACGGCCGCGACGCCCTCTCGCGAACCGAAAACGGCCGATTCCTTAATCGACGTGTCAGGGTAGGAGGTCTATCCACCCCCGATCCTTTCGAGGAGCAGCACAGGGCATACACACATCTTGCAACCATACGACATCACGAATATGCACTCGCCGTGATACCAAGAAGAACGCTGAATAGGGAACGAGCTGGGCCTGCTGGCCACGGCGAGCCTCGGCCACGGGGAGGTACCCCTCCTCCTCCTCCTCCTCCTCCGCCTACTCCTACTCCTACTCCTACTCCTCCCTCCTCCTCCTCCTCATCTCACGAGCGGCCCACAAACCAAAGCCACCCCCTGAGCCCGAAGTGGTCCTTGATCTCGGGCGTCATGGCTGCAAGCCTTTAGGAGGTCTGCGAAGAGACCTCCCGGGCCCGCGCTAGACCTCCCTCCGCGTCATCCGGCGCGCTCCGCGCGCCACGGAAAGGGGGTTGTTCGGGCCGGGCGAAAGGGGGGGATAGCAAAGGGGGGGGTTCAGAATCAGCTCACGTAGCTGATTCTCCCGGCGCCTCCCGCGCCCATGTATCGAGGGATGGGCCCGGCGGCGGGGCCGAACCCAGATGCCTGCAGCAACTTTCGTAACCCCCCCTTTCCCTATCCCCCCTTGCGTTCGGCCCGGGTTGTGGGGGGGGGGCGGTTTTGGACGCCCGAAATGGGTACGGAAAGAATGGGTACAATGCCCAACAAACAAAAATTTGCGGGGACCAACAGAGCAAAAAAAAAAGTAATAAAAAAGAAAAACCAAAAAAAAAAAGGACAATCATCGTAAGAAAAAAAAACACAAACAAAAAGGCAACAAACAAAAAAAAACAAAGAAACAACTCAAAAAAAAAAGCAAAAACAAAAAACAAAATATGAAAAAAAACAGAAAAAAAAAAAAAAGAAAAAGAAAGAAAAACAAAAAAAAAACATAAAAAACAGAATAACAAAACAACAATAAAGAAGCAAAAACATAGAAAGAAAAAAAAAAAAAAATAGAACAAAGAACAAGAAAAAAAACAAAAAAAAAAACAAGTAAAAACCAAAACACAAAAGACTTCCGCTGTTGGGCAGGCGGCCTTCTGTGGACAGCGAGTCCTGTTCAAAATGAACCAGATCCGCTGTTGGGCATTGTTTCCATTCTTCCCGTGCCCATTTCGTTGGTGCAGCATCTGACTACCTACCAGACCACCCCAACCCAACCCGAAGACCCCAATTTCGGGTTGGGGGGGGTACGGGTTCCATATGTGTTTTTTCAGTGTTCCCCGACCCCCCCCAACTGGAAATGGAGGGCAAATTGAGGCCTTCGGGTTGGGTTGGGGTGGTTTGGTGGGTGGTGAGCATCGGCCTCCGCTCCCCTCCTGGGAAGCGCCCTTGCCTCCTCGGCGAGGGTCTCGCCCGCCCTCTCTGAAGGGGCCCTGGGACTCACAAATCAAATACAAACAAAATCACAGGATTCCCCAGATGTTCTGGGTCTTGGTCTCCCCCCCACCTCCCATACTTTCGCATATTTTCCTGAGAACCGACGACTCATTGTGTCTGTTCAGGGGGACGTAAGACCTGGGTACAGGGGACTCGGAAATCCCCGACGAGGTCGTCAAAAAAATGACGAGGCCGAGCCTGCATTTTGACGAGGCCTCCCGCTGCAGACATCCCACGAAACTCCTCCTCGTCAAAATCCGAGGCGCGGTCGTCAAAAAACGATGGCGAACCCGAGTCCTGGCAAACCCGGGTCTTACGCTTCCCCGAATTGTGTCTGTGTGCATTTTTCCCCCTCCCGACTCTCGCCGAGCTGCCCGAGCCCGGGCGGACGCTCGGAGCCGGGGCGCGCCCGCGGGCCCCGCTGACCCCCTCGGCAGGCCCAGGCCGAGGTGTCCCAACCTGCGGTCTTCTTTGGGCGGCCTCCTCCTCCTCCTCCTCCTCCTCCTCCTCCTCCTCCTCCTCCTCTCCTCCTCCCTCCTCCCTCCTCCCTCCTCCCTCCTCCCTCCTACCCTCCGCCCTCCGCCCTCCGGCCCTCCGCCCTCGCTCCCCTGCCTCCTCTCTCCTCCTCCTCCTCCTCCTCCCCTCCTCCTCCTCCCTCCTCCTCTTCCCTTCCTCCTCCTCTCCCTCCTCCTCCTCCCTCTCCTCCTCCTCCTCCTCCTCCTCCTCCTCCTCTCCTCCTCTCCCTCCTCCTCCTCCTCCTCCGTCCTCCGTCGCTCCTCCTCCTCCCAATTCCCTCCTCCTCCTCCTCCTCCTCCTCCTCTTCCTCCGCCTCCTCTTCCTCCGCCTCCTCCTCCTCCTCCTCCTCTGCCCTGCCGCCAATTCTCTGGCGACCTGGGCGCACCCGCCCTCGCGTCCGAGGGCCCCGAAGAGACCCCCTGGAAAGCCGTAGGAGGGTCCACGAGCTACCACACTTCCCTCTTTGTTCGACCAGCTGCATGCTCCCACACTTCCCTGATCGGTGCACCTCGCCCGGGCCTCGCTTCTGGACGTGTGTTGCCCCCATCGCACTTCAGGACCGAACCTCAGACATGAGTTCGAGCACCCAGAGAAGTATTGGAGCAATGCCGAACGAGTATCGCCTCCCAGGGCACGGCGCGTGAGAAGCCTACAATTTCGGTGCTTTCTTGGTGCTCGAAATTATTTCTGGTGGTCAAGGCTACAGTAAGTCGGAAAATCATAATTCTGGATGGGATTTGGGGGATACGCGGAGAGCCAAGTTTTGTTTTGCCACGTTCTGCTTCTCCACTCCTTGCTGCACTCGTCCCACCCGTCCGGGGGGTCGCAGTGATCCTCGAGGAGCACGTCGAGCGCATCTCGCCGCTCCATGCCCAGCACCTTGTTGCAGGTGCCCCGAACCAATCTGAACAATGGTGCACGGAGAAGATCCGTGCGCCCTGGACGCCTAAGCTGGCAACAACAACACCTGGACCGTGCGCCCGTCCGAAAATCGTTTCAGAGGCAACTACAACACCTGGACCTAATATAATTACTCTGGGTTTCTTAAAATGCGTGGGGGGTGCCCCCCGACGGGGGTCAACCTCGCCTCGTCGTCGCGCTGCGACGGGGGTCGGAGCGCCTTCGGCGCGCGATGGCTGCCCGCGACGGGGGTCGATGTGGGACTGTCGGTGAGGGTGATGCCCCCCCCCCCGACGCTTATTAAGAAACTCGGAATAATTAACGATGAACCGAAGTGGCAACAATGAAATGAAACGTAACTACCCCGTGAACGTCATCCATCGTCACTGAGTTTCGACAGTGTACAAAACGGTAAAACGTCTGGCGATTAGCGCAAAGAAATATCGGGGGCATATGTGTCGAGTACCCTGCAACTTCCCAAGCAGGCCCAGGACTTCTGTAGATTCCGGGGGCATCGCAAAACGAACAATATCTGCGGGACGACTGCTGCCAGGCCAGTTCCTTAATCGATCTGGCCACTGCCTCATAGATCCCGCAACGCAAAAGCTGAGTAGAACACAGTACCATGCATGGAGATCCCGAAGCGCTGACACTTGTCAGCGCTTTTCTGGCAGTATTCAGTCGGGCATGTTCTCCTACAGGCTGACGTTTGACGAAAATTAAAATAGGAAAACCATGCTCAACAAAATGCCCAAACATACTCGAAACATCGTCCACGTACTATGTCTTGACTATTTTTGAATATCCCTCCTGTAGAGGGACACGCCCGACTTCATGCCAGTAAAACAAACATCCTACCGGTGCAGTCTCTGCCCCATGGACGCAGGGGGGGGGCGTGCGAGCTTGAGAGTAGTGTCCGAGACCTTCCACAGGCACTGGTCGATGAACAGATCCTCGCCCCAAGCGCACTCCCCGCCACACTCGCTGGTGAAATTCTTGGCACACCTCTCCCGGCCACGGACGAGCGCCGTCACGGCTGCGGAGGACAGGACCTCGATCGGCCCGTGGAGCCCGTACTTGCAGTTGTTGACGCGACGAGACCCAGCAGGGGCATAGACATAAGCTGTCGGAGGTCCGCGCAGATGTCTCGGGCCGGCACTGGACCCTCCTCGCGCCAGGGATGGCGCTGGAGGCGCCGCCTGGGGACCCAGCGCAGATCCAAGAATTCCGGGCGTACCTTCGACAGCATATGTTTGTCCAAGTGCTGCGTCTCCGGGATGTACACTCCCTCGGAGCGCACCCTCTCGTACTGCTGCCAGCCGGGGCTGGCTCCCGTGGCCTCCGCCAGGGCGCCGAGCACAATGCAGCCCTGCTCCTCGCTCCACGCGAAGCCTTTGCAGTTGCGGTACCTGACGGAGATGCCCCATTCAGAAGACGGCACGGAGGGGGGCACGACCTCGCGGTGCCACGGAACCCCCACTGGACTTCAAACTCACTGGATGAAGCAGATTCTGCGGCATAAGCAAAATTTTGGCCGGAGGCACCGTCGAGGGGCGCCCGACGCCGATACAAGAGATCCACGCGGCACTCCGAAAGTTTATGGTTATGCATTTGTTTCCTCGTCGAGGGTCGGCGTCGCCGTCGCCATCCCACGCTTGCCTCCTCCTGTTGGCGGCGAGGGCGAGGGGGGTGAAATGAGAAGGAGAAGGCCTTCTCAGAAGGCGGCAGGGCTTCTCCAAAGCCCTCCGGCTTCCTGAGACCTTTCTCTGTGTCTTCGGGGAGGTCTGTAAAAACCTCTCTGAGGACCCGAGGGCTTTCGAACCTGCTGAGGAGGCCCGCCCCTTCTCGCTTCCCCCCCAACAGACTGACAAAACGCCGTGAGGTCAGAGGTCTGGGTTCGGGGGGACAGACAGGCGCTGGGAAAGGGCAAAGGTTGGGTTAGATGGAACTCACTCCACACGACCCCTGAAGCATCCAGCTGGGTCCGTCCCCAATCCCCGCCGTGGGTTAACTACCCACCCCCCACCCTTCCACTAACCCCCGGTGGGACATAGACGGCCCCCCCGTCCCGGCTGGCCTCATCAGGTGTCGCGAGCAGGTCGGGGCGGTCTCAGCACCCTGCCCCCCGGGGTCCGAAGAGCCTTCTCATCCTCGCCACTCGCCCGCATGCAGTTCGCAGCCCGCCCGGACACCGGGCGCACTCCACCCCACACTCGTGGAGGGTCTTCTCGCCGATGGGCCACTCGAAGGTGTCCGCGCAGCTGCCGTCGCCGACGTCGCTCCATACGTCGCACCGTGGCGGCAGAGGGAGGGATGGACAGCCCTGACCTCGGCCAGAAGTCCGAGCAGGAGGAGGGACGAAGGATGTCGGATCGAAGGAGGGAGCAGTGGGAACAGGGAGGGATGGAGGGAGGGAACGAGAACGAGGGAGGCGGAAGAGATTGCTGCGAGACTCATGGCAACCACGACGAGGCTGCCCATCTGCATCATCGTCCTGGTCATGCCACGACTCTACACGGCAAGTCCGCGTCGTGACGACGCCGGCGTTGGTTTCTGGCATCGCGTGGATCGGTCAACCCTGATCGGTCGGCGGCTTTTGGCTCGCCGGATCGTGCCGTGACGGCCCATTCTGGGCCGCTGGCGGCGTCACTTCCGCCTCGCGCGCCCGCGGCGGGGTCGCCGCGGCGTCGGCCTGCGTTGGAGTCTGGCCAGGTTCGCGCGGCCTCTGCGGGCAGGCCCGGCACCGTCCTCCCTGGCGGTGCCACCGGCATCAGTCGAGAGGAAGGCCTGCCGAGGCCAGAGCTGGAGCAAGGGCTCCCGAGAGCAAACGTCTGAGCAGCCGCGTCAAGAGCAAGCGCCAATGCACCCACACGCCAGGGCCAGAAGTGGAGCCTGTGTGATCGGTGCCACTGTGGGCCCCAGCCCGCAACCTCCCGCTTCGCCGCCAGGATCACATCCCCCGCTGCCGTTCTGGTTGTTCTGATCTCCAGCTTCATCGTCGCATGCCGCCGGGAAACGAGGCCTTTCCGATTTTTCAGATCGGAAGAGGCAGACACTTACTAATCAACCTCGACTGTATGGACCCGAAGATGCGATACCTTGATTTTGCCAAAACGGGGTCCACACGAGTCCCGACCTTTTTGTGCTTCGTCTCGACTCGTTTTCTGGCGGTCCCCGGGCCCAGCGAGGCCTCCAGAGGCAGGATAGCACTACAGTGAAGTCGAGCGTGTCCCCCTACAGGGGGATCTTCGACGAAACATAAAACATATTCAACAAATGCTCCAAAATGATGGAAAAGACTGAAAAAAAACATCGCCATACTACTTTTGAAAACAATGTTTGAACATTCCTCCTGTAGAGGGACAGGTCCGACTTGAAGCTACACAAACCCGCCGTCGTGACTTGTTTGTTTCACGACGTGAGCATGCCTCAGAGGCCGAGGAGGTCTGCCTGGAGAAGGCGCGACGGGCCTGGGCGGCGGGGGAACGCTCCCAGGGAAGAGGAGGAGAGAAGGCCCCGGGGTGGTGCTCCCCTCCCCCCCTGCTCCCCTCCCTGGGGGAAGCCGTCGGCTCCAGAGCGTCATCGCCGTCGTCTCCGTCGCCGTCGTCGGCGTCATCGCCGTCGCCGTCGCCTCCGTCGGCGGCGTCGTCCTCGTCGTCGCCGTCGTCGTCGCCGCAGCCGCCGCCGCCGTCGTCGCCGTCGCCGTCTCCGTCGTCGCCGCCGCCGTCGACGTCGTCGTCGTCGCCGTCGTCGCCGTCGCCGTCGCCGTCGTCTTCGTCGTCGCCGCCGCCGCCGCCGTTGTCGTCGTCGTCGCCGCCGTCGCCGTCGTCTCCGTCGCCGTCGTCGTCGTCGTCGCCGCCGTCGCCGTCGTCTCCGTCGCCGTCGTCGTCGTCGTCGTCGCCGCTGTCGTGGTCGCCGCCGCCGTCGGCGTCGTCGTCGTGGAGGCGAGGGAGCCGCACCGCAGAGCGTCGACGGCAGACCCGTGCGCGTCCTGGGCCGCCTTCCTGAAGTGGTCCTCTCGGCCGGCGCGCCCGTGGGGCGCCCCATCCTCGGATGCTCGCTGCTGGCCTGAGGTCGGTCATGTCCTCCTGCAGGCGGATTTGTGGCGAAATCCTGAAAAATCGCAAAAACATCTTCAAGAATAGTCAAAAACATACTCAAGAAGCCGTCCCCAGACTATTCTTTGACTGTTTTGGAATCTTCCTCTGCAGAAGTACATGCCCGACGTAATATGCTGGCCCCCGAGACGGCTCTTCTGGGGCATCCAAGAGGGGCCCCAAGAGCGGCCCAAGAGGGGGGAGCTCGAAGGAACATGTCGAGCCTTCCGCCCCGAGATGGCCCCAACGCTCCCGAGGCCCCCCCCAAGACGCCCCAGGGAGCCCCCGAGAGGTCCCCAGGACGCCCGAAGAGGCCCCCCCGGAAGTTCTCCCCCGGACCCTCTCCAGGAGCCCCCCGAGAGGCATCCCAAGAGACGCTCGTGGTATCAAAAGAGGCCTCCGCCGTCCTGTGCCCCCCTGTGCGCATTACTGTTGCGTCGGGCGTGTCCTGCTACAGGGGGGTTTTCGACGAGAAATAAAAGATGCTCAAATAAGAATCCCAAATGGGAGAGAAAAAAAAACATAGTCACGAAAGAGTCCCCAGAGCATCTTTTGGACGGAGCATTTTTGTTGACTACCTGCGAACATTCCCCCTGTGGACAGGCCCGACGTCACGGGACTGCGGGAGCACCTTCGCGCTCCCGCGCGCTCGCGCCCCCCCCCCCCCCGGGGGGAGGGGGCCGGCCTGCCGAGGGTGACGCGCCGCGGTTTCTTGGCAGGGACACGCCGCGGCCCCTGCGACTCGCGCCTGGCGTGCCTGGGCCGGCCCGATTCCCCCGCGCGGGACTCTTCGGGGGGACGCAAGGGATCCCCACTGGGCCAGCTCCTGTCAGGGGGACGTACCCCTGGAAGCATTTAAGAACCCCCCCCCCCCCCTTCCGGCAAATCGATAACCCTTCCGCACCCTGGAAGCGTTACCTGGCACCAGGAGCCCTCCTCCTTCTCCTCCTCATCCTCCTCCTCCTCCTCTCCTCCACCCACGAACTTCCTCCTGCCCCCTCCTCCTCCTCCTCCTCCTCCTCCTCCTCCTCCTCCTCCTCCTCCCGCGCCCCCCTCCTTCCCTCGGGGCCCAAGGCCTGTCAGGGCCCAAGTCACCTGGGGTTTCCCCTCTGGGCCTTCTGCTGAGGAGGAGGAGGAGACGAGGAGAGCCACGCAGATTAGAATTTCGAATTTCGATTGTGGCCCAGGGGCCAGGCCTCCGCGAATTTGTTGTGTGTCCGGGTGCTAAACCTATCGTTCGGTTATTTCGGCCCCTCGGAATATCGAATAAAAATGCGGTGCTAAGATATCGCCGGGGGGGGTCTTAAATGCTTCCTGGGGTTACTTCTGTGGATTTCCGCCCTACTTTATGTTGGGTGCAGAAATTTCCGCCCTACTTGTTTGGCTTCTTATAGGATTTCCGACGCAATCTTAAGTTGGGAAAAAAGCCAAAGTAGGGCGGATTTGGGGTCAGGGGGGGGCCAAACATAGCGAAAGACCTCCCGCCCAGATCTTTTTGTCGCGACGCCATCACGTCTGGGAGTGGCAGTGTATCGGCACCCTTGTTGCTCCCACAGGTGCCAGCCTGCGCGCCGTCGCCAGGAGGGTGCTCCGGCATGCCCCCGGCTCCGCGTGGGAGCCGGGCCAGCAGGCGGCAGGGCTCGACGGGAACGGGGTTGCGGCGGCTTCGTGGGCAGTTTTCGGCTCCATTTTGTCCCGCAGCACGCGGAGGGGGAACGTAGGCATAACAGCCCAGACGTGATCGCGTCGTTATAAAAATAACAGGACGTGCGGTTTGGGGCTATTTTCGGCCCTGGGGGGCCCTCATCGGACCTCGGGGCCGTCAAAAAACGATTCGGGACGAAAAACCGGTCCCGGGGAAAGGGTCGGGACTTGCGGGGACGCCGTCCTGATAAAATCAGGACGTCGCATGTCTTGGGAGGGAAAACGACGCCACCACGATGACGGAGAGCACTGCTTTGTTTGCTTTTGCGCCCAGCTCAGTGCTAGCTCAAGACTCTGGAGCGCTAAAGCTGGCAGAGTGGAAGCTCGTCCAGCACCTTGGCCTTGCCTTGGCGGGGTCGGGGTGCCTCTGGGACTCAACTCGAGTCCAAGAAATGTCGAGGTGAAGACCTGCAAGCCCGCCTAGCCAGGGACTCAGCAGACCTTTTGCCCGCTCGAGCCCTGGGAGACGGACAAAAAAACGCTGTTGAGGTCGAGCCCTGGCAGGCGGCGGAGGAGGAGGAGGAGGAGGGGCTCGACGCCGCCGGCGCGGGCGCCCATGCGGGCGGCGGGGCGCTGCCCGCGTGCTCCGTGTCGATCCTGGGGCTGCCGGGGGACTGCTCGGAGCACCTGCAGCTGGCCTTCGACACCTGCGCCGGGGTCTGCCGGGCCTTCGCCTGGCTGCAGGGCCAGTTCCCGGTGGCCGCCATGGAGAACCGCTTCTGCTGCGCCACCGCGCTGGGGTGGCGGTGCCTGGACTGCCGGCTGGCCGTGCAGGGTGCCGACGGGCAGGTGCAGAGGTGGCAGGAGGGGGAAAGAAACACACAGGCACAATTATATATCCAGACATGATGGCGTCGTGAAACAGTCAGGACGGGAGGTTTTTCGCTATTTTCGGCCCGATGGGCCTCGGGACCGTCAAAAAACGATTCAGGACGAAAAACCGGCCCCAGGGAAAGGGTCTAGACTTCCAGGGGCGCCGTCCTGAAAAAATCAGGACGTCGCATGTCTGGGTCGTGGGAAGTGGGGAGGAGTCGGGCATAGCCAGGACTCTGGTGAAGGGGAGCCGGTTAGTGATTGGGCCCGAAGCCCCAAATATGGATTGGAATCACTAAACCAGGCCTGCCGTAGCTGGTTCGGGTGACGGCAATTCCAGTTAGTGGAAGTGGCCGAAGGGGGGCGTCCCCAGTACAGATCACTAAACCAGGTCCCACTAAACCCAGTCCTGCCGAACACCCCGAAAGTACGGGAAAACATGGGAGATCCTGGGATTTGCGTCTATTTGTTCGTGTGTCCCCGGGCCCCCTCGAGGTGCCGCGTGACGCTGACGCACAGGCTGTTCGGCAAGATGGGCGGGCGCTGCCTGGAGGCCCTGGCACAGCTCAAGGCGGTGCTCGAGAGGTGTCGAAGAGAAAAAAACGCTATAAACATAAACTTTTGGCGCCCCACGCGGATTTCTTGCATCCGCGCTGGGGCCCCCCTGGCGGCGCTGGAGGCGCCGCCCCTGGCGCGCTCCGAGCGCCAAGGGGGGGGGGTCCAGCGCAGATCCAAGAGATCCGCGGGGAACGCCAAAAGGTTCTGTTCGTGGCGCTTTGGCTCTTCTCAGGTACCAGATCGAGAGCGCGAGCTCCGTCGTCCCCGAGTACCTCCTCGGCTACCTCACCAGGGATCCCGCGAAGGATGCGGGCAGCAGCACCGTGGACGAGCTGAGGGCCACGCTGGCCGCGGGGGCTCACCCTGGGGCCACGGACGCTGCAGGCTGGTCCGCGCTGATGGTCGCGGCGCAGACGGGCGACTTGGAGGCGGTCCGGGTGCTGGCGAAGCGGGATCCAGACATCCTGAAGCACAGGAACCGCCGAGGCCAGTCCGCGCTGATGTGGTGCCTCTTCCGGCGCAACCGCGAGCTCGAGGACCGGAGCTTGGGGGGCAAGGGTCTGGGCATCGCGCCGGCGGGCGTGCGGCACTCGGCACAACTCATGGGCCAGCCTCGAGCACTCGTCGAGCTCCCCTGAGCACCCGTGGACGCAAAGCCCATCTTCGCTCATCTCGTTTCAGTTGATTGACCAATCAGCAGGGTTTCTTGCTTGTCTGACTCATGAATTGGGTGGGTTTGGCGAGGTTTCGCCACGTTGATGTCCGCTGCCGCCTTGTTGCATCTTGTTGCCGCCTCGTTGTCGCCTTGTATGCGCTGGGTGGGTCCAGCGAAATTTCGCCACGTTGCCGCTTGGTTGCAGGCTCGTGCGAATGGTGGGTCTGGCGAGGTTTGGCCACGCTGCCGCCCGTTGCCGCTTAGTTGCCCACTCGTGCGCCTGGTGGGTCTGGCGAGGTTTGGCCACGCTGCCGCCCGTTGCCGCTTAGTTGCCGTCTCGTGCGCTGGGTGGGTCTGGCGAGATTTTGCCACGCTGCCGCCCGTCGCCGCTTCGTTGCCGCTTCTAGCTTGCACCACGTATATTGCACCACATGGCTCACACTTCTTAGCTTGGACCACATCGCGCCCACATGCACCGTGCAATAAACCGCTTGGAGCCCACGCTGGCTAACATCTGATCTTGCCCTCCGTCGAGACGGCCGCGCCTGCTTCATCGGCTCCGCCTCCGCTGGCCGTGAACGACCTGCCCGCGGCACGGGCCGTCCCGCCCGCCGCGCGGCCGGGACGCGCGACCGTCCGTCCGTCAAGGAGGAGGAGGAGGAGGAGGAGGAGGAGGAGGAGGAGGAGGAGGAGGAGGAGGAGGAAAAGTACGACTGCATGTCCTGACGCGCATGGCCTCGAGAATTGCGCATGCCCGGTACGCTGCCACGTGCTCTCTCTCTCTCTCTCTCTCGAGGCAGGCGCTCGCTCGCTCCCGCAGGGCAGGCGCGCTCGGAGGGCGCCGCCGTCGGGAGAGGAGATGGTGCGGGTGCCGCCCTTGTGCAACTTGGCATCGCCCGGACGTGCGCATTTTTTTCTCGGCGAGGACCGTCGAGGAGCGTCCCAGATCATCGGGGGGAGGAAAAATATGCATATATTGAATTGCAGTCGGCCCAGCTTAGTAGGTCGACCCTGCCAAATCAAGGGTACCCTTGTGTCCTGTGTCTCGCGACCCATGCTTCCTACATTCCTGTGGCAATGTGGCCCTCGGAAGGGTCTTGTGTCCTCTCGCGTGTCCTGTCCAATATGGTTTTGCAGCAATTATGGCTGCACAGCAAATAAAACATGCACGAAATCGAGAAATGCGCGGGGAAGGGACGTCGGAGCGATGGCAACAGGTAACGACCTGAGCCTTGGCCCCTGGTCCCTGGCCCATTCTCGGCCAGCCCAGAGGGGAATGCGGGGCCTTCCCTCACAGAAGGCTCGTGAGGCCGCCCCAGGCCTTCAGCGAAGTGTTCGAGGCCATCTCTCCGGAGACAGAGTCAAGCAGTGGCGAGGCGTCCTGGCGTGCCTACAGGCCCACCAAACAATCTTCTGAGAACCCTCTGTGGTTTCCACGAAGTGTTCTTGGAAATATGTCTGGATGGGATTGTCCTGTTCTAACACATCGGGCTTATGTTATAAGAACATGGCTTGTGCTCTTAGAACGGCTTCGGGTTCTAAGAGCATTTCGTGGTAGGACTGTAGGAATGCCGGGGCGGTCGGTCCCTGCTCCACAGAGTCGGCTTCTCGGAAGGCCGGAGGGCTTCTGAGAAACCCCGTCGTCCCCTGAGAAGGCCAGACCCAAGGCCGCCCTCGAGGGCGCGAAGCTATGCGCGCTTCGCAGTTCGGCTCCGATTCCTCCTCATCCTCCTCTTGTTCTCTTTGGGGGGCTGCGCGAGAGCGCAAAGTTGTTGAGTATCTCGCGCTTCGCGCAGCGCGATGTGTGAAGTTGGGCGCCCTCACAGACGCCGCAAAAAGTCACGACCAGAGCCCTGGGCCCCGTCCTTCTGCGTCGTCCTCCGAGCCGGATCGATCTGCGAGGGCCCTGGGGCCCGAAGCTCTGGGGGTGGAAGCGCCCGCCGTGAACAAGTTGCCACGCCAGGGGGGCCTGAGAGCCAGACCCCTCAATCACTGCCCCGGGAGTCCGTCGACCCTTTCCCGGGGACCGCCTCTTCCTCCTGAGTTTAGGTCGGGTATGTCCCCCATAAATGGGGATTTTGGGCGAAAAATGAAACAGATTCGAAACATGCCCCAAAATGATAAAGCAAATGCTCAACAAGTTGTCCCCAGACAATTTTTTAACTATTTTTGGATACTCCTCCTGTAGAGAGGGACATGCCCGACTTCCTCCTGAGCCGTTTTTTGACGGTCCCGGGCCCAGCGGGGGCCTCTGGAGGCCGAAGGTTGTCAAAAACCGCCCGTCGTCATCTCTTCACGACGCGATCATGTCTGGGGACCCCTCTCGCTTCCCCTGGGGCGCGCCGCCGACTCTGCTCGACAGGACGAGCTCCGGAGCCACGGGGTCACGACCACCGCGGCGGACCTGGAGGGCCTGGCGCGGCTGCAGAGCACCCAGCAGGCGGCGAAGGACCAGGCCGGGCGGGGCTCCTCCCAGGGGCGATGGAGCAGGAGGAGGAGCAGGAGGAGAAGGAGGAGCAGGAGGAGGAGGAGGAGAAGGAGGCGGAGAAGGAGGAGGAGGAGGAGCAGGAGGAGGAGCAGGAGGAGGAGCAGGAGGGGGAGAGAGGAGCAGGAGGAGGAGGAGGAGGAGAGGCGAGGAGGAGGAGGAGGGCGGAGGAGGAGGAGCAGGAGGAGGAGCAGGAGGGGGAGAGAGGAGGAGGAGCAGGAGGGAGGAGGAGGAGGAGGCGGAGGAGGAGAATAGGAGGCGGCGGCGGAGGAGGAGGAGGAGGAGGAGGAGGAGGAGGAGGAGGAGGAGCAGGAGGAGGAGGAGGAGGAGGAGGAGGAGGAGGAGGAGGAGGAGGAGGATGCCGTCGGATTACTGATGCCGCCCTCGGGGGGCGCGAGTACAGTCGCGCTTCGCGCCTCGCGGCAGTGGCCGCAGAGGTGGCCGCTCTCCGGGGCGGCGGCGCGAGTGCGCGAGGACGACCGAGGTCGGGCGTCGGGCGGGGCGGGCAGTCAAGACGCTGAAGCAAGGACCACTTCGGGCTCAGGAGGGGCTCTGGCTTCAGGGCCGTTCCTTCGATCAATCTATGGGTCGAGGAGCCTTTTCGTGGACGAGGCCCGCCGTAGCCAGGGAAGCTCCGTCGATCCTTACTTGGGGTTCTTTCTGGCAGCGCCGTGGCTGCAGGATCGGGACATAGCGTGCTCGGGAACGTTGTCGGAGCGTTCTCCCTGAGATCTTGGCTTTGCAATTTCTTCACAGCGGACGTTTGCGCCCGGTTTCGGGCCCTGGGGCCCTCACATATCGATCCGGCTCCAAAAATGACGCACGAATATGGGGTCCAGGGCTCTGGTCGTGATTTTCTGCGATGCTGCTTTTTTTGCAAAGAGTGGGATCTCAGGGTCAGATCTCAGGGCTGCAGCGCTCTGAGAAGGTCGCGGCGCGCGACACAACCTCCAGAGCCGCCGGATCTCAGGGATCCCCGATTTCTCTTGGCCGAAGAAGAAGAAAACACATAAACATAAACTTCTGGCGCTGCGGCGCCAGAGGCGCCGCCTGGGGGGGCCCAGGCGCGAATCCAAGAGATCCGCGCGGAGCGCCAAAAGTTTATGTTCACGTGCTTGTGCTTCCTCTGCCTATGGTCCGGTGCTGCCCCTGTCCCGGGCTCCGTCGGACCAGGGGGACAGCACCACGCTCTCGCTCCTCGACGCGCGGGTGGAGCACCTCGAGGCCGTCGGGGTGGCGGCCAAGGGCCGGCAGCAGATCGACGAGGCCCTGATGAGCCGCAGGTCGGGGGCTGCCAGCGGCGTCCCTGGCCCAGGGTGTCCTCCGACGGGGGCATCTATAGACACCACCGCCGTGCCAGGCCATGGGCCCTCCTGGGCCCCAGGATCGAGTGTGCAGACCCTCCTGGCCTCGGCCAGGAGGGCGTATACACCATGCTGGGGCCCCAGGATGGAGTCTGCAGACCCTCCTGGCCTCGGCCAGGATGGCGTACACGCCATGCTAGGGCCCCAGGATGGGGTGCAGACCCGCCTGGCCTCGGCCAGGATGGCGTATACGCCATGCTGGGCCCCAGGATGGCCGTGGCCTGGCACGGTGGCGGCGTACAGAGGCCTTCTGCGTGTGTCTTCGGCGCCCCAGACAGCGTATGACAGCAGAACCACGGCGGGAGGGGTTTGGCCGTCGTCGGCCTCCAGGGGCCCTCGCCCAGCCTCGGGGCCAGCAGAAAACTGGCTCGGGAGGAGCAGCGGGCCCCGGGGAGGCCGCGCAGGGGAGAAGTCCAGGCATCGCAGGTCCAGGTCCCCCGCTCCTCCCTCCCTCTGGGAGCCGTTGGGGCCCCTCCTGGGGCCCCTCGAGGGGTGAGCCGTGATGGCGCGGGGGCCCGAGGCCAGGCGAGACGCCCGGTGCGCCACACTTACACCGCCCGGATCTCAGGTTTGGTCGGCTTCGGGCCAGTGGGTCTTTTGCAAAGGGGCCCCCGAAAATGCACGCAGTAGTTCGTGCAGTCGTTCGCGCTGGATCGTGTTGGATGCGGGCAGAAGGCATTGCATTTGGCATCGTTGGTCCGCGAGAGAGAGGCCACGCGCCATGAGCCACACGATGAGCTATTGCACTTTTTGGCGACCCCATTGCCTTAATTACGAGAGACACCCCCTTTGCCCAGAACCGAGTTGGGCCAGGGACCCCTCTTGCACCACCCGAGCATGGGGGACGAGGGCGCAGTCGCAGTGCGGACCATCTCGAAGGAGGAAAAGCAGCAGAAGCACCAAATTTTGAAGCTCCGCGCGGTTTTCTCGGATCGGCGCTGGGCCCCCCCTCCGTGGCGCAGCACGCCCTGCGCTCCACGGAGGGTGGCCCAGCGCCGATCCAAGAATCCCGCGCGGTGCTCCGGAAGTTGATGTCTGATGCGACGAAGCGAGTAAGACGTGCCCGGGTTTGTCGCAGCGCCCCACTGGGAAGTGGACGACGAAAGCAAGCATTCCCTGTTCGTCGTCGTCGCCGCCGTCGAGGCCGCCGGAGGCCCCCGCCGGCGACCCAGACGAGAAACTCGCTTATCGTTCAGTCGCCCCGCTCCCCGATGTTTGAGCCGCTGGGTCGCCTCCTGCACCCAGACTTGCGACGTCCTGATTTTTTCAGGACGGCGTCCCCAGAAGTCCCGACCCTTTCCCCAGGACCGGTTCTTCGTCCTGAGACGTTTTTCGACGGTCCCGAGGCCCGGCGAGGGCCCTAAGGGGCCGAAAATAGCGAAAGACGTCCCGCCCTGATTTTTTTTACGACGCCATCATGTTTGCGCAGCTTTCCCTCCTTCTGCCGTCGGCGTGCTGGAGGGCGAGGGCGGCGTCGAGGCCTTCGTGCTCGAGCGTACGGACGGCACGCTCGCGGGGCGGCTCCCGGGCGCCGAGGAGGCGCTGCGTGCCGGCGACCGCGGGGCGGTGTTCGGCGCCTTGCGCGCCCTGGAGGATCGGGGAGGAGGAGGAGGAGGAGGAGGAGGAGGAGGAGGAGGAGGAGGAAGAGGAGGACGAGGACGACGAACACGAGGAGGAGGAGGAGGAGGAGGAGGAGGAGGAGGAGGAGGAGGGAGAAGGAGGGAGGAGGAGGGAGCAGGAGGAAGATCGGGATCGGGAAAGGTCGGGTGTTGCTAGAAGTGCCCCAGGCCCAAAGTGCCCCCGAGGATGTCCAAGGGCCCCACCCCCGCGCCCCTTCCAGAGACCACACCCTCTCATGAGGCCCAGAGGGGCCCCAGGGGGGCTCTGGAGCGGAGCAGCGAACAGCTGGGCTGCACCTTGTGGGCCCGGGGCAGCTCCAGCAGCCCGCGACCGGGGGGGATGGGGGGGGGGTCCGAAAGCTGCTGGGGAGCACCTTGTGGGCCCGTGGCAGCTCCATCGACCCCATCGCCAGGGGGGGGGACGTAATCACGAAAGCTGCTGCGTCGTGCGGCTGGTCGCGGCCTCGCCGCCGAGGCCCCTGCTTTCGCTGGAGGCACCGGGCGCCTCCTCGGGCGGCGCCGGGAGCGTCGGCCGCGGCCAAGACGCGGAGGTAGGGAGCAGTTCGGTGCTGGGAAGGGGCCCGATGCTCCTGAGGTTTTTTGTTTTCATGGCTGCTCCTCCTCCGCCCCTCCTCGTGAACGAAGGCGGCTTTGGGGCCCAAAAGGGGCTCCGTTTTTATCCAGGGGCTTCAAGAGGAACCTAAAAGGGGCTTCGGAAGGGGCTCGATGTTCCTTCGGTCCTTGTGCGGCTGCTCCTCCATACCTTCTCGTGAACGAAGGCGGCTTTGGGACCTTAAAAAGGCTTCTTCGTTTCTTACTTGGCATTCCTTCTTTCGGCGGCCCGACTGTAAGTGAGCTGATTCGCGAACGCCCCCTTTGCGCTCCTCGCCAGGGACGCGGCCCAGGCCGTTTCTTCAGGGCCAGGCTCGAGTTTCCAGCTCGCTCCGTAGATCTGTGGTGGCGCCAGGGGAGGAGGAGGAGGAGGAGGAGGAGGAGGAGGAGGAGGAGGAGGAGGAGGAGGAGGAGGAGGAGTGAGGAGAAGGAGGAGGGGGAGGAGGAGGAGGGGAGAGAGGATGGGGAGAATGGAGGAGGGAGCGAGGAGAGAGAGGAGGAGGAGGAGAGGAGGAGGAGAGGAGGAGGAGGAGGAGGAGGAGGAGAGAGGAGAGGAGGAGGAGAGGACGAGGAGGAACCAGCCCGGCGCTGCTATCGTCTTTCGTCCGACCCGAAAAAGGACCACTCGCGGGGCCTCCGGGCCACGGTCGCCGAGGCCTGGAGAAGGACAAGCGGCAGAAACATTGACGCTGGGAGCTCCGCGCGGATTTCCCGGATCGGCGCCCAGGCCTCAGATTTCCCATCGATTTCTCTTTGGCGTTTGTAGTTTTGTATGGTTTTCGTACCCTGGCGGCGCCTCGCCCCCTAGCGCGCGACCGTGCGCTGGGGAGGGGGTGTCCAGCGCCGCTCCGGGAGACCTGCGGGGAACCGTGCGGAGTGCGGAGCTCCGGCAGCTTCTGCTTGTCGTGCAGGTTTCCGGCGGCGCGCTCCTCACCCCATCCTCGCTGGGCCACGCCTCAGGCAACTCGCGAGGGCGGCGGGGGCAGGGTCTGGCGTCCGCCGCGCGCGTGGCGAAGTCCGAGTCCTAGGTCCTACCCGCCTCCCATCGATCCAGGAGGGTCGGTGGCTGGTGGGGGGAGGGCTCGGACGCCGCCGCCCGCGCGACGCCGAAGAGCGGGCCCCGCTGCGCCGACCTCCGCGCGCGAGCTTCCCGCGGAAGGTCGCGCGCGAGAGCGCCCTCGCCTCCAGTGCGGCGTGCCGCGCCGGCGGCCCGCGTGAGCCGCCGCGCATGGGCCGCTGTGCCATCTCGCGTAAGGACCCCCGACGTCATGAGCTGTCCACATAGCGTCGACCCCTGGAGGTCTGGGCCCCTTCCCCGGGACCGGATATGTTCATCCTGAGTCGTTTCCTGACGGCCTCGGGGGCCGGCAAAAGGGCCCCCGGAGGCCGAAGATGTAACGAAACATTCTCGGCCGTGATTTTCACACGACCCGATCGGGTCATGTAAAAATCCAGACCCCCTCGAGGGGGTCTGGGCTTCTGGTCGTCGCTCACCTCGTCTTGTTCTAGGGGAGCAAAAAGTGGCATAAACACAAAAACTCTGAGGTCCGCGGATTTCTCGGATCGGCGCTGGGGCCCCCGGGCGGCGCGTGGAGCGCGCCAGGGGCGGCGCCGGAGGCGCCGCTGGGGGGCCCCAGCGCCGATCCGAGAAATCCGCGCGGACCTCTGAGTTTTTATGTGTATGTGACTTTTTGTTCCCCTACCCAGAGATCCGATGTCGTGATTTTTTCAATGCGCGGTCCCCAGAAGTCTCGACCCATTTCCCAGGACCGGTTTTTCACCCTGAGTCGTTTTTTGACGGTCCCGAGGCCTGGCGAGGGCCTCTAAAGGCCGAAAACGGCGGAAAACCTCCGTTTTCATTTTTTCAATGCGCTGGATCTTTGGGTATGCTCGTCCACCGGAGGCCCCAGGGGCGCTCTCGCGCGCGAGGGCGCAGCACGCGCCGCCCGGCGCCGCCCCGGGCGTGCTGTGCGGCGCGCTGGCGCTGCTGCCGCGGGGCGGCCAGTGGCTGCGCTTCGGCGCGGCGGAGCGGGCGGGGCCCTGGCAGTTCGACTTCCGGGCGCAGCAGGTCGTCGTCGTCGTCGTCGTCGTCGTCGTCGTCGTCGTCGTCGTCGTCGTCGTCGTCGTCGTGGTGAATGTCGTCGTGAATGTCGACGCCGCCGCTGTCGCCGATGCCAACGTCGCCGCCGCCGTCTCCGCTGCCCTCGCCTCGCTTCCGCTTTTTACTCTGGGGGACGCCCGGGGAGGCCCTCGTCGCCACGGGTGCACCCGCCGCGGCATTCCCATCTGAACGCACCCCAGGAGAGGTCCAGGAGAGCGGCGGCAGCGGCACCTGTCGGCCCCCCCCCGGCAGGGCGAGCAGATCCTCGAGGTCCACTTCGACCAGAGGGGCCGGTGCATCGACGCGACCACCGGGCCCATCCGCTTCGCCGGGATCGAGGGCGTGGGCACGCTGGGGCTGGATTGGGACGCCTCCCACACGGGCGGCCAGGGGCTCGAGGCGTGGCTGCTGGACAGCCTGGAGCAGGCGTGGCAGGCCGAGTGGCAGCGGAGGCAGCCCAGGCCCCCGCAGAGGGACCTCCTGGAGTGGAGCGACGGCAGCTCCATGAGGGGGCTCGTGGAGTCCGCGAAGCTCTTCACCCTCACCAAGGCTTTTTGCGCTCTTCTGCCTATACGTCCATCAGGGATCTCAGGAGGAAGCAGCAAGCGTCGTGGGCGCCAGAGTGCGCTTCAGAGGATCGAGAATCTGGACTGAACCCTGGGCGTCTTCTCTCGGGGCTTCACTTTTGTTCGTAGAGCTTTCGTATCTCTGGACCTGGGCAAGCGCTTCGAGTGGCGTCCATTCTCTTAGCTGGAATGTTTGTTTAGCTCTAAGCAGGGGTGTAGTCAAACTGGCATTCAGCCCCCAAGCACCGACAACTCTGATTCCACTCTGGTTTCACTCTGATTCCGCTCTGGCCCCGAACTTTGGTTCCACTGTGCTTTAGCACTGGCTGCAGAAGCAGCTTTGACAGTGGCTCCGTCAGTTCGACAGTCTTCGGTTGCGCGTTTTTGCTGCATCCTCGAGCCTTGCTCTACGGCTCGAAGAGGCAAACAGTCGCACAAGCACAGACTTCTCCGCACAAGCACAGACTTCTCGAGGGGGTCTGGGCTTCTGGTCGTCGCTCACCTCGTCCTGTTCTAGGGGAACGACAAGTGACATAAACATAAAAACTCGGAGGTCCGCGCGGATCTCTCGCATCGTCGCTGGGCCCCCCCGGCGGCGCCTCCGGTGCCGCCTCGGGCGCGCTCCGCGCCAGGGAAGGGGGGTCCGGCGCCGATCCGAGAAATCCGCGCGGACCTCTGAGTTTTTATGTGTATGTGACTTTTTGTTCCCCTACCCAGAGATCCGATGTCGTGATTTTTTCAATGCGCGGTCCCCAGAAGTCTCGACCCATTTCCCAGGACCGGTTTTTCACCCTGAGTCGTTCTTTGACGGTCCCGAGGCCTGGCGAGGGCTTCTGAAGGCCGAAAACAGCGAAAAACCCATAACCTCCGTCTTCATTTTTTCAATGCGCTGGATCTCTGGGTATGCTCGTCCCCCCGGCGGCGCCTTCGGTGCCGCCCCGGGCGCGCTCCACACGCCAGGGCGGGGGGGCCATAGCGCCGGTGCAGGAAGTCCGCCGCGCAGCTCCGAGGGCCTGCGGTCGGGCCTCTGCAGGGACGGCGTGTCGCTCCGCCCGGGGCGGCGCGAAGGCCCTCGCTGCGCGCGGCCGCTGGCCGCTCGGCGCGTCCGCGCCCGTGGCCCCTTTCCTCCCCCTCCCCCTCCCTCCTCTCTCCCATCCTCCCCCTCCTCTCTCCATCCTCCTCCCATCCCTCCTCTCCCATCCCTCCTCTCCCCCCCGTCCCTGCCATCCCTCCTCTCTCCCCTCCCCCTCCCAATCCTCCCCCTAGGAGGAGGAGGAGGAGGAGGAGGAGGAGGAGGAGGAGGAGGAGGAGGAGGAGGCCCTCCGCCACTGGGCTTCGCGTGGACGTCGAAAAGAGAGCGTCGCTTCGCCGGCTCTGGCCCACCGCGCTTCCGTGCGACCTGCGCCCACGTCCCGAGCCTTTTCGAGCTTCCCGCCCCGCGGAGCGGATCGACCCGCTGCATACGCTCGCAGGGGCTACAGCGTGCAGCCGGGGCCGCCACCGCGACGCGCTGCCCAAACGTTCCCACCGCCGTGTGTTGATGCCATATCTGTTTCTCTCCGCCCCGGAGGTGGCGGAGGGCGTACCGGCGAGCCCTCGGACGATCTTCGCGCTGCACGTCCACCTCATGAGGTCCAGGATCTGCTCGGAGTGCACCCGCGCGATGCTGGGCTGCGACCCCCGGCTCCAGAGGCTGTGGAGACCCTACGTCGGCCACATCCTGGGCGCCCTGCGCGAGCTCCCCTTCTACCAGGGCATCGTCTACCGCGGCATCGCGGTGGAGGACCTGGCCTCGCTGGCGTCCGGAGCACCGGCCAGCGTCGCCTCCTTCCTGGACGGCCACGGCGGCATCGACGTCGGCAAGGAGCCGGACGCGGCCAGGACGAGGATCAATCCGTTCCAGACCCAGACATGATGGCGTCGTTGAAGAAAATCAGGACGGCGTGTTTTTTTTTTGTTGCTATTTTCGGCTCCTGGGGGCCCTCGCCGGGCCTCGGGACCGTCGAAAAACGACTCAGGATGAAAAACCGGCCCCAGGGAAAGGGTCGGGATTTGTGGGGACGCTGTCCTGAAAAAATCAGGACGTCGAATGTTTGGGTCTGACACGCTCTCAGAGCGCTCCAGAACGCTCTGAGAAGGCCGCGGCGCCCAGTACATCCTCCGGAGCCGCGGGGCCTCAGAGACTCTCGATGTGTCCTCGACCGGACTGGTCCTCGTCCTCTCCTTCGTCTCGAGGAGCTGAGGTGGCGAGGCTTCACGGCGGCCACGCGCGACCCGCGCGTGGCCATGAGCCTGATATCGGCGGGGCGCCGGGGCGCTTCGGCGGCCCAGGTCCCGCGGCGCGCAAGGGCGGGCAGGGCGGGCAGGGCTGGCCAGCATCGCGGGGCGCGGCGGGGCGCGGCGGCGAGGGCTCTCCCCCGGGAGGCCGACGTGAGCGGGAGCACGTCCAGCTTCCTCTGGCAGCGGCTCTGCATCGGGAGGCTGGCTTCCTGCAGATCCCATGCTGGAGCGCACGGGACTTTGAGTCTCACTTTGATCGCTTTCGATCTGATCGTTTTTGTTTGTCCATGCTGGTGTTCCCGCCGCAGCGCTGGCCTCACGTCAGGATCGGCGATGTGCCCCTGTCGTCCAGAGCTGCGCTCCCGCCACGGCGGGCCACGCTTCTGAATCCGAGTCCTTCCTCGCCGTTGTCGCCCACTCCTCGCCCCTCCGCCTTCCCCTGGTCTTCCTGCTCCACCCGCTCATGGTGTTCCTGCTCCTGCTGTTCCCCCATCATGCGTTGTCCTCCTCCTCCTCCTCCTCCTCCTCCTCCTCCTCCTCCTCCTCCTCCTCCTCCTCCTCCTCCTCCTCACGCGCTCCCCAGGGCACCCGCGCTCAGAGGACACGCGCTCCTCAGGGTCCTCCTCCTCCTCCTCCTCCTCCTCCTCCTCCTCCTCCTCCTCCGTCGCCTCCTCCTCCTCCTCCTCCTCCTCCTCCTCCGTCGCCTCCTCCAAGGTACACAGCGCCCCTTTGTGAGGGTACAGTGCGCGATGGGGTCAGCCAGGGGGTCCAGTTCCGCCGTGACACCTGTTGGCGGATAGAGAAAAAGCCGGTGCAATGGGGAAGGATGGGTGGGAGGGGTAGGATGTGATTTGGGGCGAGCGCATTTGGCTTGCTTCCTGCCACTTTCCTGCCTCCCCACCGGAGGTCTCTGGAGATCCCCAGGGGCCACCAGAGGTCTCGATAGGTGGGAAGAGTGCCCCCCGAACGCACGAAACTCCGATTCTCGGTCCTCCCCCCCCTGTGTGCGTTTGGGGGCACTCGATCCCAGCATCCCAGCGTCCAGGTCCTCGATCCCAGCTTCCAGGTCCTCGATCCCTCCCCCCCGTCGCCTTCTCCCCTGGGTGCTGCCGTCGCCGTGACCGCGGCGCCGCGGGCGTCTCGTCGGCGGCGCCTTGTCGTTGCCGCGTCCGCCGTCGTCGCTGGCGGCCGCCTGACTTCCTCTCTGCCAGGATCCTGCACCATTCTGCGGGTTCTGCGCGCTTCGCCTCCCCCGTGTGCCTGCTGTGCCCACTTCGGCCCCGTGGCATCCCGCGGCTGCTCCCGAACGCGGCGAGGCCCCTCGCCGCTGCCGGCCATGCAGGGTGCTTGCGTGCGGGTGCGCGCGAGGCCAGCCTTGGATCCCAGGATCTCCGAGTGCTGCCTCAGAGTGGGGCCGGACGGGCGAGAACGGAGGATGAGGTCCTCCTCCTCCTGCTGCTCCTCCTCCTGTTGCTGCTCCTCCTCCTCCTCCTCCTCCTCCTCCTCCTCCTCCTCCTCCTCCTTCCTTTCCTACCCACCGGGCCGTTCCCTGCCATCGGTCCTGGTCCCACGGCAGGGTCTGATCGGCAGGTCCCGGTCCTACAGTGGGCACGCCAGAGCAGAATTCGGCCTGACAGCGAGTGCCCCGCGAGAGTTCACGATTGCCCGATGGGCCTGCAGAGTCTCGGGGGCACCCTGCGAAACGCAGGGTCGACGACGGATGTGTGCCTGGATCTCTAATGCTATGATGTGTTATCGTGCGTGCCTGCTGCACGGTCGGGCCTCATTATCAGGTGAGCGACGCAAAGAAACAGGGTCGTCTTCGCCGACATCGGCGCGTGAGTTACCCGCGCAAGCTCGCGCGTGAGCGCCCTCGTCTCCAATGTGATGGGCCGCACTGGCGGCCTGGGTGAGCCGCCACGTAGGGTGAGTGTGTCATCTCGCGTAAGACCCGTTGTTGAGCGTCGCCCAGGCGAGCCCTGCAAGATCAGGGTTGCCCCTGTGTCCTGCCTGCCGCGGTGGATGTCCAGCGCCCGTAGCACAGGCTGCCCTCGCAAGAGACTCGCGTCCTCCCAGGGCCCTGGTTTCGGGGTCGCGTCTCAGATTCAGGTCGGGGGTTATAATATTCCAACCTACTTTAGCCTTGATCACCAGAGCAATTTCCGAGCACCAGAAAATACCCCCAAAACTCAAGGGTTTTCACGTGTCGGACCCTGGGAGACACTCGTCCGACACTGTTTCGACACTCTTTCGACACTCGTTTGACGCTTTTCTGGGTGCTCGAAATTATTTCAGGGATGTGGTCCTTAAGTACGTTGGGAGCAACACAAGTCGGGGGGGCTACTCGTGGCAGAGGCTCGCCGAGGGGCCTTTCGTTGTTCAGCGTTCCCCGTGGTATCGCGGTGGCCTGACGCTCGCGGCCAGCAGGTGACGAGGGCGCGGGTGTGGGCCGGGGACGCGGTCGAGGCGGTCATGTTCGAGTACGAGCGAGGTCAGCGGCGGCTCTTCGGGCAGGCTTCCTGCAACGAGCGGAACGCGTGGGAGGTGCCGCGCGGGGAGGAGGGCGAGAAGGATAGCAAGGAGGAGGAGGAGGAGGAGGAGGAGCAAGCAAGCCAGCAAGACCTGGGCAGCTGCTGTCTCTGCTAACGGGCACACCTCTCTGAGTGGGAGAAATAGCCACAACACATGCTGCTGGTTGAATCAACGCACTGCTCGGGCAAGCCTGCGGGACTTCATGACCCGTCTCGGGTCTTCAAAGCCCGCGTTAGCACGAAGGCGCACCGCACTTCAACACGCAGAGGGCGGAGGCGTAGAGCACTTGGGCCCATAACCTCCACCTAAGGGGCTGAACGGTGCGGGGCGGCTCTCAGGGAACTCGGGCCTCCCGAAAGCAAACTCTCAAGGGGTACTCATCGCAACAGCCTCTTCGGGCTGCTCGGTTCTTAGTGCGTGCGCCTTTGTGCCTTGAAGTCACCTTCCACTCCTCCCCCCACCAACTCACAACCACCACTCCCACCTCCTCCGAAGAGACAGTGCTGGCAACAGGAGGCCGATAGGCTTCGAGAATATCATGCGCTGATGTGAGAAGTGCCTCACTCGTAGTCTACAGCCGTTCCCAGCCATCTCTGAACCTCTCACCAAAGAAAAGAAGTCACACGATCCCATTGCATTATCTGAACAAAACACGTTATCCACTTCGGATATCTCCTCACATGAAGTGTATCACCTGTGCACTCCACCTCAAGCTGATTGCCTCTTCACATCTCTGAGTAAGTCTTTCGCTCTCTGACTTCCAGCTGCTGCCATTCTCACCAGTCCTCTCAAACCGATTGCTCCTGGACTGACGCCCGCACTGCTCGCTCCAGCGCTCCCGGTGGTGGACCGCCGGTCTTGACCTCTGCGCGCGCCCGTTGCCACTCGCGCCTTGATAATGTGCAGGCGCAGCTCTGCGATCGTCACCTGTGGGCTCTAGCTAGCGTCGCCCGTCTGGTCCTTGTAGCGCTGCATGACCGTGGCCCTCATGTACGGGCTGACAGCGATGGGGCTGAGCATGAGATGCAGCTTCGCCTGATCCGCCTTCCCTGCTCCGTCGTTGTATGTCTTCTTGATTCGGAAGTGGCGCACCAGGTCGTTCCTCTCCTCCCTGTCCAGCACGGTGACCAGCTTCACGAGCCACCCGAGGATCTGCTGCGTATCGTCTGGCAAGGCCTGCATCTTCGCGAGCGTGTGAATAATCCGCCCGAATCTGTGCATGTGTGGGGTTCCGAGATCTTTCTTGCCCTCCTCGGTGCTCAATCGATCATATTCTTGTCCCATGCGCAGTCCTTCTGCTACCACGGGGTGCACCAGCGGCAGTATCATGCAGTCCCATAGGGCGCCCATGAGTATCCGCAGCGTCTGGGTGTTGTTGAGCTTGAGCTTCTGCAATGTGAAAACTCTCTCCTGCATCGGCACATCCACATCGACGTCTGAGCCAGCTCCATCCCCCTTGCCTCGCTGGCGCTTGCGGCGGCGCCCTCTGCCTTTGCCTGCACCTTTTGCCGCTGGCTATGCTGCTCCTGCCGCCAGCGGTGGAAGTCCGATCATCCACGCCGCCATCCGAAGGGCCTGGGGCGTGTTGCTTCACGTGCTCCACGTGTGTGCTTATGTCTGGCGTGCTGAAGTCGCACAGTGTACACGTATATGCAATCGCTTTCGTAGGCGCAAGCTCGAACGAAATGGCTCTGGACGGACATTTCGTGGGGCTCGATCGTGACATGGTCCAAACGTGTCTCACACAACTATCCCTCGATGAAAAGACTCTTCGACACCACGGGCACACGTTCGTCGTCGTGATCTTCGAGTAGAGCTCACGCGTCTTGTGAGTCTTGTTCAAGTGGGCCGTCAGCGCCCGCATCGTCGTAAACACACTCCCACAGACGTCCCCCTGAGGTGTTTCGTGCGTGCAGACGTACTCGTGCCGTCCACGTACTCGATCCCCTTGTACTGCTCCTCTGCCTCCTCCTCTTCAAAGTGTTTGGCGAACAGGTGCCTTCTGTGCTGGAGGAGGAGGAGGAGGAGGAGGAGGAGGAGGAGGAGGAGGAGGAGGAGGAGGAGGAGCGGCGCGTGGCCGAGGGCGGCGGGGTGAGGCGGGGGCACGAACACTCCGCATGCCGTGCCAACCCAGCGCCACCCCAGCAGCCCGCACATGTCTTCGTGCCCGATGACGTTCCGGACCAGTCCGAGAGAGAGAGCCTCCCCGGCACCAGAGACGGCGAGGAGCACGAACTTCCTCGCGCGTCGGTCGCGTGCCCTTCTGCGCCCGGGAGACCAGACGAGCCTTGGACCAGCACCGCGCGAGCCCGAGGCGAAGCGTGGCCGCGCGGGGAACAGCGGCGTCGGCGCGGAAGGCACGGGGAACGCCGTGGCGCCGGCTGGCCCGCGCCTCGAGGCGCCGCGACGGAGCGCAGAGCACGGCCGCAGTGGGCAGGCTCCAGCAGGGCAGATCTTAGTGGTCCGAGGCATCCGCAGGGAAAGACCCCCTGGTCCCTGGCGTGCCTGGCCCTCCTGACTCAGGGCGCCTCCCAAATGGCCAGGAGCCCTCTCGACCCCCGGAAACGGCAGGGCCGGTTTTTCACCGTTGCCGAAAAAATGCCCCTTGAAAATGGAAACGGCAACAAAAAAACGGCGACCGGAGACGGCAACAAAAACGGCTCCAGGACTGGAGCCGGAGCGGGAAGCCGCAAAAAACGGCGACGGAACCGGTAGAAAAACGGCGTCGGGCAACAAAAACGGCAAAACGGAACCAGTCAAAAAACGGCCCTGTCGTTTTCAGGGCCCACTGAGGGACAGACAAGCAACGGCGTATCTTTCTCACGTGGGCGGTGCCACACGAGCAGTGGCAGGGTCTCATCCAGACTGGTGCGCCTGGAAGCAGCCCACTTTCGGCAACAGCACATGCAGCACATGGGAGGGGCCAAGCGCAGGAGGTTGTTTCTAGCCAAGCTTGCAGCTGCACCTGAATCAGCCGTCAAGTCAGACGCGCCAGAATCGGAGGAACTCGCGCTGTTCTCATGTTGTCTTTCGGTGCTCGAGCCTATCGGACAGCAGCTGGCCGAAGCGAGACAGAGAGAACTAGAATTATGACAGAGGCACAAGAACGCTGCAAAACAAGAAGAAGGAGCTCGAGGTGTTCGAGATCGAGTGAGGCGAACAGATTGCAGAGCCCAGGAGTCTGGCACAAGATCTGAAAGAGAGCTTGGCAGCAGAGGAATGGCAGCAGCAAGGCTTGGCTCGTGCACTGGCTCAGGCCCCAGAAGTGCCAGAAGACGCGCCCATGGGCTACTCAGACGACGAGGGCACAGGCAAGGACAATCATCACAAATGGCGTCAGGACACGGGACCGAGGCGCACGGACTTGCAGTGCACCCGCCCGCAGCAGAACACCATCGCGGACGCCACGCAGCTCGTGACGAACCGTCAGGATCAGATGGACAGCCAGATGATGAATTTCCAGCAGAGTGTGATGACTCTTCCCACGGGAAGAGAAGGAGGAGGAGGAGGAGGAGGAGGAGGAGGAGGAGGAGGAGGAGGAGGAGAAGACAAATCAGGAGGAGGAGGAGGAGGAGAGCCAGATCCTGAATTCCCAGCAGTGCGGGCGATAATAAAACATACCCCCCCTTAACCCCCTCTATTGGTATTATCCCCGTTCAACAGGATTTAGTTGTGGAGAGGGGCGCGGAGGCCGAACTCGATAATCCACGGGGGACGTTGCGAATCGAAGTTGCTATCATCTCATGTTGGCTAGCAACAGCATCAGTCTTGTGCCGAGCGCCTGCTGGCAAGTTGTATAGCCACGAGCCTCGAGATCTCTCGAGTCAGTCTTGTGCCGAACGCCTGCTGGCAAGTTGTATAGCCACGAGCATCGAGATCTCTCGAGTCAGTATTGTGCCGAACGCCCAGGATCACCATCATTATGATCATCGCCATCATCAGCATCATCATCATCATCATCATCATCATCATCATCATCATCATCATCATCATCATCATCATCATCATCATCACCACCACCATCACCATCACCATCACCATCATCATCATCAGCAGCAGCAGCATCATCATCATCGTCATCATCATCACCATCATTCATCATTCACATCATCGTCACAACTTACCTTCCCCAGGAACATCCTTTATTATCCCCGCCAGACCCCCGAACTTTGTTATCCCCCTGTGATTATTTTTCGCGGGGTCGGTATGGTGACTCTTCCCACGGGGCCGAAGAGGTGCGGACTACAGATGCCCAACGGTGGGGCTCCGTGCAGGCCCCCACGGCAGGCTGACGGCCCTCGTCGGCAGCAGCGCGCTGCATCTCCAGCGGCGGGTGAGCCGCAGCAGCTTCCAACGTCGGGTGGGCACGGCAGGTGCCACCTGCATCTCAGCAGTGGTAGGGATTCCGTCTTACGCCGCGCACATTAGGAAGAGGAGGGGGAGGAGGAGGATGGAGGAGAAGGGGAGGGAGGAGGAGGAGGCGGAGGAGGAGGAGGAGGAGGGAAGGGGGGGGAGGGGGGAGTGAGGGGGAGGCAGAGGGGGGGGGGGGGGGGGAGGGGGAGTGAGGGAGGGGGAGGGGAGGAGGGGGAGGACGAGGAGAGGAGGAGGGAGGTAGGAGGAGGAGAAGGAGGAGGAGTTTGAGGAGGTAAGGAGGAGAGGAGGAGGAGGAGGTGTAGGAGGAGGAGGAGCTCTGAGGAGGAAGGTGACAGGGCGTAAAACCCCCAAGGCAGGGGGGTTGAGTCACAGGCATCTTAGGTAGGAGAGAGAAGTGACCAGAGCGAGAAGAGAACTAGGAGGAGGGAACGCAAGGGGGGCCAAGGAGGAGGAGGAGGCCGCTTTATGGATGCAGGGGTGGGGTGGGGTCAAGATGTGGCTCTCGCCAGAGCGCCGCGCACAGCTTGTCTCGGGAGTCCGCAGCGGCTTCCCGGAGATAGGCAGGGCGCGTGTGCAAGCAGGCGTTTTTGCCCCGGCGCCGGGCACGCTCGCCCCCCAAAGCTTGCAGCAATTCGAAGGGTCGGGCATTGGCCTTTGCCAATAATGGAATTCCCCCCTCACCGCCGCGCGCATTTCTCGGTGCAGCGCTTGCAAGAATGGACTGCGACTCTTCTCCAGACTGGAGCCCTTGCCTGAGGCCTCGTGAGCATGACCTCGACGCGCATGGCGCTGCACGGATCCACGGCGTTCTTTTGTTCAGCATGGCGTTGCCGCGTGAATCTTCGTCAAAGCCCATGAGCCACAGTGCAAGCTTGTGCAACGGTTGCACGGATGGGGGGGCGCGGTCCTTCTTCGAGAGGGGGGTCTCGCTGAACACCTTGTTTCAGGAGGGAAAAAGCGCAGACACAATTCATTGTCGACTCTCCAGAAAGTATGGGAAACTATGGAAAGTGGGGGGAAGACAAAAACCCAGAAAATATAGGAAAATATGGGGCATCCTGTTATGTTTGTGTATTTTTGTGTGTGCTTGTGGGCCCCTTCATTGTTGAACTGTACGATCACTGTTTCTCTCGCTCCTGATTTCGCGCCAGAGAGATGCAAGGCCGTTTCTTCTCAGAGCGGGGCCCTCCCACAATGGCAGGCTCAATTGTGCTGGTCTTTCAGACGGAGGCATTCCTTGCAGTGGGAAGGAGGACTTGCACGGACATAATGTGAGGAGGAGGCAGAAGGGATCGAAGAGAAAGTCCTGATGCGAGTTGTTCGATGCCCCTAGTTTTAGTGTCCTCCTCCCCCTCCTCGAGGAGGGTCTATCCCCCCTTCCCTGTTCAATTCGTTCCTCAAGGACGGGCTCCCCCCCTACTCGTTCTCCTCCTCCTCCTCCTCCTCCTCCTCCTCCTCCTCCTCCTCCTCCTCCTTCTCCTCCTCCTCCTCCTCCTCCTCCTCATCCTCCTCCTCCTCCTCCTCCTCCTCCTCCTCCTCCTCCTCCTCCTCCTCCTCTCTCTCTCTCTACCTCCTCCTCCTCCTCCTCCTCCTCCTCCTCTCCTCCTGCTCCTCCTCCTCCTCATCCTCCTCCTCCTCCTCCTCCTCTCCTCCTCCTGCTCCTCCTGCTCCTCCTCCGCCTCCTCCTCCTCCTCCTCCTCCTCCTCCTCCCCCTCCCTCCTCCTCCTCCTCCTCCTCCTCCCCCCTCTCTCTCTACCTCCTCCTCCTTCCTCCTCCTCCTCCTCCTCCGCCTCCTCCTCCTCCTCCTCCTCCTCCTCCTCCTCCTCCTCCTCCTCCTCCTCCTCCTCACTTCTCACTTCTCACTTCTCACTCGTCCTCGTCCTCGTCCTCGTCACTTCTGCTTCTCATCTTCGAGCAGGGCCCATCCCTCCCTGCTGGGAGGTGCCGCGCGGGGAGCAGATCGTCAGGGTGCACTGGCGCTCCGCGGGCGAGGGGTCTGGGTGCTCGTTCGAGACGTCGGCGGGCACGCTGAGCCCTTGGTACGGAGCCCAGGATGGCGAGGCATCCTCGCTTCCTCGTCCTCAGTTTTCCTTCTCATTCTCCTCCTCCTCCTCCTCCTCCTCCTCCTCCTCCGCCTCCTCCTCCTCCTCTTCCTCCTTCTCCTCCTCCTTCTCCTCCGCCTCATCTTCCTCATCCTCCTCCTCCTCCTCCTCCTCCTCCTCCTCTCCCTTCTCATCCTCACCCTCCCTCATCCTCGTCATCCCTCCTTTCCTCTTCTTTCCTCTTCCTCTTCCTCCTCCTACTCCTCCTCCTCCTCCTCCTCCTCCTCCTCTCCTCCTCCTCCTCCTCATCCATCATCATCATCATCATCATCATCATCATCCATCATCATCATCATCATCATCATCATCATCATCTCATCATCATCATCATCATCATCATCATCATCATCATCATCATCATCATCATCATCATCATCATCATCATCATCATCATCATCATCTTCATATTCCTCCTCCTCCTCCTCCTCCTCCTCCTGTCCTTGTCTCCTTGTGTCCTTCCTATCCAACTCTTCCACGCTCTCTTGTCTTCCCCCTGCCGTCTCCTCATCCTCATCCTGGCCATCACTCCCTTTATTTACCATCACCATCCTTCTCATTGTCTTTCTCGTGATCCTTACCGTCATCCTCACCCTCGTCCCCGTACATCCTCCCTCCTCCTCCTCCTCCTCCTCCTCCTCCTCCTCCTCCTCCTCCTCCTCCTCCCGCTTTCTGTCCTCTTTCTTCTCCTCCGCCTCCTCCTCTCCTCCTCCTCCTCCTCCTCCTCCTCCTCCTCCTCCTCCTCCTCCTCCTCCTCCTCCTCCTCCTCCTCTCCTCCTCCTCCTCCTCCTCCTCCTCCTCCTCCTCCTCCTCCCCCCCTCCTCCTCCTCCTCCTCCCCCTCCTCCTCCTCCTCCTCCTCCTCCTCCTCCTCCTCCTCCTCCTCCTCCCTCCTCCTCCTCCTCCTCCTCCTCCTCCTCCTTCCTCCTCCTCCTCCTCCTCCTCCTCCTCCTCCTCCTCCTCCTCCTCCTCCTCCTCCTCCTCCTCCTCCTCCTCCTCCCCCCCTCCCGCATCCGAGGTCCAAACTCTCGCCGCGTCGGACGGCTGCCACATCACCGGCCTGACGCTCCCCGGGGCCAGCGCGCGCGGCGCGCCGCCGGGCCTCGAGGACGGCGCGGAGAAGCCGGCCTGGTGCAGCGCGCCTGCTCCTCCTTGCTGCAACCTGCTCCTCCTGCTCCCTCCCCCTCTTTTGGTTTTTGTTTTGTCTGGTATGGGGGTCTGGCTCCTGCTCCCTCCCCCGCCAGCCCCCCTGCTTCCCCGTTCTGCGCAGCCCTGCTTCTCCCCCCGTTCCACTCCTTCCCTCGCCCCTCCTGCCTCCTGCCTCCTCCTCCTCCTCCTCCTCCTTTTCCTCCTCCTTCTG